ACTGACTGAAGGGTGTGATACAGTTGATCTGGATCCGTCAGCCCACTAATTCTCTGTTTTTATTACTGTACATTACTGTGATGGTGAAATCAATGGAAAGATTTTGCTACAGTAAAGAATCGTAACATTCAATCACAATATGTTCAAATCCAGATTGCATTATTTGTTCTGTAATTGGTTTCACTGATTTTAAGGGTTATGTGTTATTGGCTGTTTTAACATTGTTGTTCATCATTCTCGATTATATCTATGAAACAAACAATATGGACAAAACAGTTTATTACTTTCTTCTTCATCATGTATATAGATTGGGCCTCTCTATGTTGGAGACTATAATCTCAGCATCCTCATTGCATTCTATCCTAATTTAGCCCAACAGAATATATTTAAGAGACTTTGGAGGCTCATTACTATATTTGGAAGACCTTTGGATAAAAAAATTTGTATCTCCTGCAACATTGAGGCCATAGATTCTAGTATCTATTTTATGTACATAGAATGTCCTATGGAAGGATTTTCACACTTTACTATGTAGTAGATACCATATTTTTCGGAGTATAAAACACACCTTTTCCCCCCCAAAAGGGGGTGAAAATTTAGGTGCGTCTTATACACCGAATGTAGCCCCGCCCACCCACTGGCTCCCAGCAGTTTACCTCCTTGCAACAAGCAGCAAGAAGAAACAGCTCACTTCAGCTTCAACACAGCTTAATTAGCACAAATTGTCCGTTTGATCGGCCTCCTGGCTCTCAGCTATTTTGCTCTTGCTTGCTGCAAGGAGGTAAATTGTTGGGAGCAGATTTTTTTTCCCTTTGTGCTAATCAAGCTATGCTGAAAACGAAAATGAAAGTAAAGCAGGCCATTTGCTGTTTGCTGCAATGAGGCAAAATTGCTGGGAGGCAGAGACAGATTTCTTTTTCTTGTTTTCCTCACCAAAAAAGGTAGGTGCATCTTATAGTCCGGAGCATTTTATACTCCAAAAAAATACGGTAATGTCTTTTGAGGAGAACAACCTATCATATATGTGCATCTATCTAAAACTGCTGATAAATATCATGCAGAAGGAAGAGTATTCTCTTCTACTCTTGACTGCTTTCTACAAGAGGACAATTAATGCTTTCTACAAGAAGGGCACCTTAAAACAATGTCCACAAAAAAGAAGTATTCCTCAAATTGTAATCTACTGAATAAAATATCTCTTGTTTAAGTGAAATGCTGAAGTAAACCAGCAATTTTAGGCATTCATAGACTAATTAGCCAGAATTAACCATAGGAAATTGCCTTGGGTTCTGATAGGTAAATAACACCAGAAGAAAGATGGAAAGCGTAATTTTATTATTAATAGCATCCAGTTCATTGCCTATGATATCTTTCTGAATGAACCATGAGTTAATAGGCATGATGCTTTAGTCATCGCTCCTCTATTTGACTGGCTACTTATAAAAGTCCCAGGTCCTATGACTACAAAGCAGTTGGGTCTTGCAGGCTCTCTTTTGTCCTTAGTAATCTTTTTTGTCTAAGCCAAACAGTTGGGGGAGGTTTTATAAGTTTGAGGTTGCTGTTATCAGTCTATGCATGGCCCCACTATATATTCACCAGTACATAAATACTACTTATTGTCATTTAAGATAGATGACTTGGTGGAAGTTCAGGGGCTGGTAGTGATAATATGAGTACTCTTAATTGTGACAAGGGAGAGGCCCTGTGAGTAGAAAATCTATCTGCTCAGAAAGATAGTGGTCAGGTTGTTACAGGTGTTATGTATACCTTATAGTATATGCAGTTCTATCATTCCTCTCTATTGTAGTTTTTTCCTGTATCACATTGCCACTGTAGGATTCATCTCTTTTGTTCCTGTGATGCATTCCAAAGCTTTCATCCGTTTGTCAGTAAGTTCTGTGGTACGACATTTTTTAGTTGCTGCTTGTAAACTTAAATTGTGTTCCCTCAAAAGGCGGTGGCATGTGCTTTCACTAGTGATACCCAGAACTATTTTATCACAAATAAGTTCATCTCTCAGAGAGCCATACTCACAGCTTGCAGCTTTTTATCTTAGCCGTGTAACGAAACTGTGTATTGCTTCACCTTCTTCTTGCTTACAGCTGCCAAATATATATCTTTCATATATGACATTTTAGAGGGTCTGAAAAAGACTTCTAGGGCATCCAGGATGGCTTTAGTATCACATGTTTGCTCCTCTGCTTACACGTTTGTAAGAGTTAAATTGTGCTTGTAAACATGGAGGCATTCACTGCCCATCAGCCTCCTCAGTGTCACTGCTTGCACTGCTGCTGGCATGTCATTTTGAGGGAATAATCCTCAAACTCTGCTCTGAAGTTGTCCAGTTACTGCTGCAATCTCCACCCACCCTCATGGCCTCAGGTGGTGGTATGCTGTTAGCGGCTGCTATGATGTTGCTTTTCTTCCTTAAAATGCTTGGCTTCCAGGACAGGACTGCAAGTGTTAGACTGGTATGTATCAAATGTGTAGAGACAGCAAAGATTCAGTTGCTTCTGACACCATATTTCATGTAGAGTAAGTAAACACACTACAAGCCATCACTGTGCAGAAACCATTTTACTAGAGAGTGAGTAATATAACAGAAACAGGAAATGCATCACAGGAACAATAGAGATGAATCCTAGAGTAGCAATGTGAAAAAGGAAACAACTACAATAGAGAGGAATGGTAGAGCTGCATATAAGGTAGACATAATACCTGGAACACAGATTTACTTGAATGAGATGAAAAAACTGGATGGTCTGACAATTTTTACAATGGTGTGTTCTGACTTAGGCTTCCTTAGAAATTAAACAGCACAAACTTAGTCCCGGCAAACCTCTTTAATTCATAGGGCTGTAAATTACTTTCATTTACAGTCCACAAGGCTTGATAAACAGTCTTTCAAAGGAAGGTTATCAACACCAACCTATCTCACGTGGAACGCTGCCAAAGAGCTAATTTCCAGACACAGGGCAAGGCCAAACGTGGCACAGAGTCACAAACAGAAGTTTCAAATCTTGAATCGGCCAGATGAATTAATTGCTTCCTGCAATTAATCATGTCCCGTTCGCTTCTCTTTTTTTATGTCTTATGGGAGGGGCCAATCATCTCCAAGCCTTACTCCCAAGTCGACCCTGTCTCCTGGCAGCTCTGTGCATGTGCACACTGGGAACAGGCTCACACTGTTCTTCTGCCTCGCTGATGCCATCAAACCTCAAAAAGAGGCAGCAAAGAACTACCAGATGGCCTTGGCCCACTCTCTGCCTCTGACTCAGAGCCATCGTCCGAGTCTTTCCCAGACTCCAGGACTTGCCCACATTCCTCCCCAATCTCCTCATTGTCTGAATCTGCTGCCAGCTCTGCTGGCCGCTGGCGGGCCACAACACGGTGCCTGGAAGAAGTTGGTTTCCTGGACCCATTTCAGTTGGGTTTCAGATTGTGGTTTTGTATTGATCATGCTCTTCAGTGACCTGGGATATAGCTGGGGTGGGTTTGGTGGGCCCATTTTGTGCTCCTTGATCTGTCAGAAGTTTCCGATTCTGTTGATCGGGGTATTCTTTTGGCTCAGCTCCAAAGATCAGGAGTGGTAGTCATCATTTTGTGGTGGTTCTCCTTCCTGTCTCTGTGGCCAATTTCAATCAGGCAGAAGAAATTGAGCCCATGTCCCCTCATTTGTGCTTTCTATTTAATTTCCATATGAAACTGCTGGGTCAGATTATCTGTTGGTTTGAGGTCAGCTGTCACCATTATACTGTTAATATCCAGTGGTACATCTGGACCTCAGGGTGTTTTCTACCTATTATAAATACAGTATTATTTTATTGCAAGATTTACTGTGATGGATTTGTCTTGCAGCCCTTTTTGTTTTAAATTGATGTATTTAGCTATGACTTGTTGTTTGGCTGAAGGGTATTATATAAATATATTAAATGAGTAATATGTTTTGTCTGGCCTGTTCCAATATTCATAACTTTTATACATGATAGAAACAGAACTGGAGATCAATTTTTATGCTTCATTATTTAATATACTGTTCATGTAATCTCATCTTGAAGTTACTTCGTGGTTTCTTTAAAGTTTCCCTCCTTTTTTTGCCTCACACACATAAGTCAAATGTTTTTGTGAACAGTGTAACATAGACTGTTTATAACAGTCAAATATCTTATGAAACAAAACAAGCATTTGATGTAGTGTTTATTTAGAAGCCCAGATTAAAATGTGTAGTTCCGGAAGAGGCTGAATCTATGTACAGAAAATGTAGGGAAATTATTTCAAGGTTAAATGGTTAATGGGGATTTCCTGAAGATAACAGATATTTTGGTTTTATTTATCTACATGCTTTCATATCCTATTTTACTGCTCAAAACCTTCAGGTTGATTTTATAATAACATTTTTAAAATGATAAAACAGAATTCATTCAGTTTAAGAGCCTGTAAAGCATGAAAAAGCCAAAAATAACAATGTACAATGGCTCTAGAAATTTAGGCTTCCATTTAGGCATGTATCAGGCTACTGTAGTTTATTCCAGTTGGTAGGATTTCTCTTATTTAACAAGCTCTGGATTACAAAATTTTGGCTTTACATGGTATATGAATCCAGCTTGTATTCAGATTAATAAGTACGGCCCACAAACTAGGAATGATTTTTTAATACTGTGAGAATCCTATATAAGATCTAAGAGTTTAACTTTTTTTTTTCTTTTCCTTTTTTGTGTGTCTTCAAGTCAGTGTTGATTTCTAGTGACTACCTGCAGTTTTCTTGGCAAGGTTTTTTAAAAAGTGGTTTGCCATTGTCTCCTTCACAGGACTGACAGAGAGAGAGACACAGGGAGGGAGTAAGGGAGAGGGGGTGTCACCCTCTGGCTTTGTGCCCAAAGCAAAACTAGAACTTACAATCTCCCAGTTTTTAGCCAGGTGTTTTAACCATCACCCCAAACTGGTTGTCAAAGGTTTACACTACAACTGCTCCAAATTATTTTTTTATTTTATATTTTCAGTGATCTAAGTATGAACAACATCAGTGAACTGCTGCCTGGAGATTTCCATCACTTACATTTTCTGGAAGAATTGTAAGTATTACTAAACATATATTGCCATGACCTCTTTTAAAAGATTCTCTAAATAATACCCAAGACTGAGCAAGTTATATTTGAATGTGAGGCAGAAAAATCTTGAGACCACTCATACTGTTACCAGCAGTAAACACACACACACACTCAACTCAGTAAATTATTGTATTATTATTTAGGTGGTAAAAACTGTTTCCCTTCCTGACACTCAAACTTGTTTCTGTTGCAAATGATAATATACTGCTTCATGTAATCTTATCTTGAAGCTACTTTATGGTTTCTTTAAAGTTTCTCTCCTTTTTTTTTTTTTACTTATCTGCATAAGGGTAGAACTTTTCCACATGTTTACAGCAGGGGTGTCCAATCCTAGCAATTTTAAGATTTGTGGACTTCAACTCCCAGAATTCCCCAATCACTTTGGGAATATTGTGTGTACATTCTGATTGCCACATCTCATATATGATTTTCCAAAACAGGGAAAATACAAACGTAAAACAAAACATAAAGCATGATGTTGGCTTTTATTTAGACAATGTGAACAAGGGGGTATATATAATATGACTTTGTGAAAAGTCATTAAATGCAATTTGCTCTTTGGCTGAAGCAGGCATGGTAATTCATAAATCATAGGTTATAAGCCATGAAAACATTTTGACAGAAATATTAATTCCAGTTTTACAGAAATACATGTAGATGTAATTTCTTGTCACTTCTAATCAAGAGTTTCAAAATGTTATTATTTGTAACACAAGTAACAATTGATTTTGTTGAAAGACCGTGTTTGAAATTAAGGATCTCAATCGTACATTAACTTTTTTGTGGTAAATTCAGGCAGATCATCACGACGTTATGTTTATTAGATAACAAAGAACCATTTGACCATTCCTAACTCTTTCAAAAGAATCAAAAGAAGTTGTGATGAAACTGATCTTGAATTGATTCATCTAACTGGTCACAATATTTAGCTCAACTCTGGTTGAATACATACATTAAAAACTGGCATGTTTAATGCTAATTCATAATGGAGTCACCATTCATTTCTATATAGGGTAAATAGCAATCTTAGTATATGCAATTACAAAAATGAACATCTACTATTTTATCCTAGTAATATGTTGAGATCCCTGATCACTAGGTCTTCCAGAGCTTGCAAAATCTAAGGCTACCATCAGATGGTAGCAAAGAAATACTTATAACCCTAATTCTTTGTTGCCATCTAGTGGATGTCTCGTGTTTTGCAGCTTATATATGGTAAGTCTGATCTTCAGCTACAAGAGTTGTCTTTAACAGCAGTAAAAGAAGATAGCGTTCACAGTAAAAATTGTTTTTCTAATCTCTAAATTAGGATACTGAAAAAAGCTACTATTTATAGCTTGTAGTGAAAATGTATAAATTACTTGAATGATTATGTAGCTTGCACAGGAGTTTGCACAGGACTATTGCAAGCAGGTGTGCTAGTTGTATGCTACACAAATGCATCTTGACATGGAATGGCACCAAGTGATGGGAAGAGTAGTGGCCCAATGTGGCACTGCAGGGTGCCAGTTTGGAAGGAGAAGCCAGTCCAGTTACTACTCTGATGTTGTTTGGACTCACATTTAACAATTAATCCATAAAGTTCTTTGTTTTTGACTTGGAGTGGTGTGCGAACCTATCTATTATGATTTGTCATTATGGGCAATTCAACAAATGATGATTAATATTATGTATATTTTTTATCATCCAGCTGGCTGTAATTTATTTTTATTTTATTTTATTGAATTTAAGCATAGTAGGAGAATTTCTTCTTAATATTCCCATGTGGAAAACCCATATTGTGTCCATTGTTCTTAGGAGATTTTGTGATGCTGTATGTCACAGATACTTTATGCAGATTCTTTGGAAAGCTGATCATAGAAAAGGTCACACAATATTCGGGCATGCCTACTCCTGACTAAGCCTCATTGAGGTCTATGAGACTTCATGCCTAATGAGGCAAACGCTTAAAGAAAAGTTGAGACCTTGAAAGCTGACAGTAGTCCTGAACTGTAGAAATCCATTTGTTTCTTATATCAAAAGAAAAATAATTTTATCAGTATGATTTTGTTTTTCCCCATCTAATTAGAAACATCAGCCCAAAGGAAGTTTGTTAGAATATTGAAGGTAGCAAAGAGACTTAAGAATTAGGCAGATGAAGGTTTTGCTGACTGACAAGAAGGACTGGGAATGCAATTGGGGGTGGGGGGGAGAAGGAAAGAACACTGCTGTGCCAAAATACACAAGGCTAAACAGTCAGTGATTCATGATAGGGAACGGAAACCAGTGTTGACAGCTTCATCTGCTCCATTTTGTTGGCTTGGGTTTCAAGCATATACATAAAGCACACATCTCAAGCTCCATGCCACAAAATAGCTAACTGGAGTTCTGGGAGTTGAAGTCCACACATCTAAAAGTTGCTAAGATTGAGAATTGCTATACTAGAGGCTAAAGGAGCAATAACCATTCCTTGTAGAATTCATTATATATGAAATTATTCCCTCTTGATTCAAATGGTGTTCTCTTCCTATTAAGGGAAACTTTCTTGAAAACTAAACTTGTTCCCTGTTTTCTCTTTAGGTACATAATATACATTTAAATATTGCTTCCTGGGGTGTTTCTGCTTATAGTTACTCTTGTAAATAACATGCATTTTTGTGAAAAATTGTCTCTCCTGTTTTCCAAGTATCTTCATACATATAGGTAAACATATGCCTGTGTTCTGCTACAAATGCTATTTACAGGTGTCACATTTCATTTCCTAATTGGTAATTTCCTTTACAGAATAGCAAATGTTCCATTCTTCCAATATCTATACCAGAATGATAGAATTTCCTGCACTGCTATTTGGCTTCCCATGAGGCATGGGGTGGGGAGCGTTCAAATATTTCTTTTCAGCTATTATCCTAGTTCTTCCCCATAGGAGCTCTCACTGGCTTGTTTAAAATGTACAGTTTTTACCACTGCATCCATACATTGTATCCACACAGCTCATTTATTTTCAATGCCTGTTGAAGAAGTTAAATGTAAAGTACCTTGTAATCCTAAAATTTAAATTCACTGTAACCAATTTTAAACAATCTCTCCTTCATTCAGCTTATTTGTCCACTGAATGAAATTGATAAAACATATAAACTTTATCGTTAAAAAAATCTATTTCCAAATTTGGGAAGAAGAGGCATATATACATGTATGTACAAGAATAAATACAAATATAGGTAAACCACAAAAATGAAGTGCAATAAGCACCAATTTGGACACAGCTTCTGTGTTATCAATATTTTATTGACACTCCAGATGGAGAAATTAAATAAAATGCAGTGATATCAATGAGTTGCCCTCTTAAAAATCCATCAAATTCTAATTGATAATTTTCTACAAAATTCATGTGTCGTAGTCTGCTTTTTTGTGTTAAAAAGACAATCTTATGCTGTTTACACTATTATAGACACAATTTCTCTAAACTTCAGAGAAGAATAGAAATCTACATAACAAATAGGATTTATATTTTTGCATGCAGGAATAGAGTGACCAGCGTAACACATTTGTAATTGTCTTTGAGGGAATCCAGAAAGTATATAAATATCAATGAATGCAAAAGAAATGCAAAAGACTCACCTGACCCAAAAATAAGTTCTAAGGGACCTCTTAAAAGAGAATAAGAGATCAACGCTGTCCTTATGTTGGTCCTGGACATTGAGTCTGAAGATGGATGATCTCCTTAATAAACCATTTATAATAATATCCTTTCTGTCATTTTGGAAAAAAATGGTTTGTGATAATGCATTTTTTCCTAATCTTATCATATAGATTTGTCGCAATAAGATCTGGACTATAAATTCAAGAATTTTCTCTCATTAGTATGAGGAAAGGAAGGAAGGAAGGAAGGAAGGAAGGAAGGAAGGAAGGAAGGAAGGAAAGCAACTTTTATTGTAAAGAAAACCCTTTCTCTTATAATGACCTCTGGTTCCCCTCATAATGGCTCTATCTTGCCGAAAAGTATAGGAAGGCACTTCACTCCAAGCTATCATTATATTTCCTAACAAAAGACACTGTTAAACATTTGGCTGTATTATCTTGACCTTGTTTGTTCTGTTTATTACAGGCGCCTATCTGGAAACCAACTCTCTAAAATTCCAGAAGGAGCATTTTCTGGCCTCTACAATTTAAAAATTTTGTAAGTCACAATTTCTTCTAACTGCTACTGCTTTACTGGTCTTTAGATTTTATTTGGACCCCTAGTTTTACTTCCCAAAAGCTTTTTATATATATGTGAGTCATGTGATTGTGCTTTCTCTAACTATATACTGTATGTCTGAACTTCTGAGAAATTCAGGCACTTATAACACAGTCGTGTTACTTGTTAAACTTTTCTTGATATGAGGAGTAGGGTTTGAACTTTCATCGAACTTTTTCAGGTCGTGCTCATGAGAGAATCCCATGTGAACAGGATGGTCAGAGCTTATAAGTGTGCCTCTCTCTGCATAAAAATTCTTAAACAGATCTGGAATTCTATGATTGTCACTATCACAAGCTTCATCACCTCCCTGTACTTACAACAATATATTGATTTTCTTTGACTGGATGGGTTATGTTATGTGGAGAGTAAATAATTATCTGTAGGCTTTTAGGGCAATGGTCCCCAACCTTTGTGGTTCAGTGGCCCGGCGGGGGGGGGGGAAAGAAGGGAACCGGGTCGCAGAAGTGAGCCAGTGTGCTCATGCATGCACGCACAGTTCAACTTTCGCAAATTGAGCTGCGCATGTGTGTGCATGCATGCTGGCCTGCCGCTCATGCAAGTTGAACTGTGTGCGCATTGGCCCGCCATTCGTCCAGCCCAGGTCCGAATAGGCCACGGCCCAGTACTGGACTGTGGCCCAGAGGTTGGGGACCCCTGCCTTAGGGTTTACCTTACTCTAGAATCAAAACAGTAGCACTAGCTTATAATTGCATTGCTGCCACTCTCTCATTTTACCCCTTCCCTAGTACTGGGAATATTGGGATTGGTCTTAAGGGGTTTAAGTAGCAATTGGTCCAATCTCCTTATTGGAACTGGAGGACTTTTTCCTCTGATTACTTTTAGATTCTTTTGTAACCAATCTATTATCAAACAGTAAGACAGGTGGCTGTTTTTCTTCATAGTAGTGCCCCAGCAGTCTGGTTCTAGTGAAGGATTTATGCTCTCAGTGGTTCAACTTCTATTTTTCCAAATATATATTTTTTTTACAATCTCTTCTTTTGCAATAAACATTTTAGTTCATGGGCATGTTTGGAACCCGACCACAATTCAAAATCACCATAGCTGACAATGTTTACATGAAACGTACAGGTATCAACCTGCTCCTCGGATTAAAGAGTGCAGGGCTGTTCATGAGGCCTTCTAAAAATCCTACTCTAAATCCCTGGGTTTAGAGATGAGTTGCTTCTTTATCCATAGCCTGCATTAGGCACCAAATCAAAGAAACCAAGAAAACCACAGAAAACCCACCCTGTTTCAACAAGGGCAACACTACACGCAGGAAAGTTGCTTTTCATCAGTATACATTGGAGCACTTCCCAGCAAAATGGTTAAACGTGTTAATCTCTCTGAAACTAAAACAGTTTTAGCAGTAGCAAAGTTGCCCATGGGCTTCAAGAGAAAAAAAAATATTGTGTGGTTCTCCTGAGGCTGAAAGGGTATTAGTCAGGGAGCACTGGCAGTTTGAGACAAATGGCAATGCTTGCCCGAATATCCTGCAGTGCATCGAAAGCAATCTTGTGATGGAGTCATAAATAACCTTCATCCTTCCTTGACAGCAGACAAATTGGGCACCCATTCTAACAAAAGGATTATCATCTTAGCTTTCATTTTGAAGTGAGAGACTTACTATCTGAAGAAATATGAGCAAAAATATCTCCAGGTGGCCCTCATACTGAGATTAGTATAGGTTAAGACTCCTATCTCAGGCCAAATGTGCTTTGTCTTGCTTTAATCTTCTAGCAATCTATGTGGCTGATCAGAAGGAATGTTTCCCATAATGACTGTTAAAGGGTCTACTAGGTGTCCAGCTGTGAGAATAAGCTTTGTATAAGCCACCACCCAAGATCTACACAACATGAAGAAGCTCTCCAACACTGCAGTTGCCCTGTTTGTTTATAATTATTGATACTTTTATACTGCCCAATAATATAAGTTCTTGTTGGTGTACGGTCAATTAATATTCATTTTAAACAAGTAGAATTACATCAAAATAAAAATTCTAAAAAGAATATCGAACAAATAAAAAGATAAGCACAAAGGACTAGATAAAAAGTTGAGGACAATTGTAATGGCAATAGATAAAGCATAAATTATCTTCAGGTGAAAGTTGTTTAATCCTTTTAAAAGAATTTTTCTTACTTTTATTATTATATTTGAAATTACTCAGCCCAAAGTCTCCTATATAAACCATCTAAAATAAATGCCCTAAAACACTGAATGCTTAAAAAAAGCCATTGTCCATTGTCCCACATTAGGTTAGCTATTTTGCTTTCATCTATTTTGATTGCATTTCTTGTATTTTTGTTGTTGTTGTTCTCGGATTTTGGATTTTATTATGTGTTTTATTCCCCTCTATGAAATCAATCTGAAAACATTTATTTATTACATTTATTTATTTATAAAATTATATAAATTATATAAACTATAAACTATCTTGGGTGTCCTCCTGGATTCCCTAGAGGAATCCTAGAAGACCATTTGACGGCCGTGACCAGGGGGGCTTTCTCACAGATTCGCTTGGTGTGCCAATTGCGCCCTTTCCTAGACCAAGATGCCCTTCGCATGGTCACTCATGCCCTAGTTACTTCTGGGTTGGATTACTGCAACTACCTTTACATGGGGCTGCCCTTGAGGTGCACCCGGAAGCTCCAGCTGGTCCAGAATGCGGCCGCGCGGGTTGTTATGGGAGCTCCCCATTACTCCCATGTTACATCCCTCCTGTGCGAGCTTCACTGGTTACCGGTGGTCCTCCAGATCCACTTCAAGGTGCTGGTACTTACCTATAAAGCCCTACATGGCTTAGGTCCGGGGTATTTGCAGGACCACCTCCAGCCTGCCTCCCACTGTCCTGTCCACTCACATAGAGCTGCCCTCCTCAGAGTGCTGTCGACCAGACAATGTCGGCTGGCGGCACCCAGGGGTAGGGCGTTCTCTGTGGGCGCACCTACCCTCTGGAATGGGCTACCTACCGAGCTCTGGACAGCGCCCGATCTCCACTGGCCTAAAGACTTGGCTATTCCATCAAATGGGCTGATTCTGATTCTGGGGTTTTTACTATTTAATTATTTTAGATTTCCAATTGGTTTTAATTAGGATTTTATTCTGTTGTCGTTTGTTTTTCAATCTTCTGTTCGCCGCCCTGAGTCCTTCGGGAGAAGGGCGACATATAAATATATTTACATATATAAATATATGTAAATAAATAAAAATAAATAAATAGATAAAACCTAATATAAATACAATACTAAAAAAAAAAGTCAACCTAGCTAAAACGATGGGGATGGAGGGAGCTCTGGTGGCTCAGCAGACTAATTAACATCCACTTACATCTGCTGCCTGCAATTACTGCAAGTTCAAATCTCACCAGGCTCAAGGTTGACTCAGCCTTCCATTCTTTCTAAGGTAGGTAAAATGAGGACCCAGATTATGGGGGCAATAAGCTGACTTTGTATAAATATACAAAAGTATGAAGGCTATTGCTTAACTCATTGTAAGCCACCCTGAGTCTCTGGAGAAGGGCGGCATATAAATCAAATTTTAAAAAAAAAAGATGTTCCAAAGGGCAGGCCCAACAGCTCTTCTTCTGGATCCCACTGGTTATTAAATGAATTAAATCTATAATAAATAATTAAGCTATATTTTAAAACAATAAATGCCCAAATGAAAGTTCATCTTTAACAGGATTTCTTTCACTTTTTTTTTTTTATGAGCCTTTGCTGTTTGCATGGTAGGAATCTTGGACATTTTTTCCACTTGAAGCACAAAATGAAAACAGTAATAAAAAATGAGGCAGTGTTCTAGAAGCCTGGGACATGTTTCTGCAATGAAATGGAAACTGAGAAATTAGTGCCCCTTTTGAACAAGCTGCCTGAAGCAAAGTTCTTCTATATTGCTTCATAGTGAGACTGGCCTTGTTGAAGGCGTATGTTATGCTTGCAGCCATGCGTGTTAATTTAGTGTCTCTGGTTCCCGCTGTGAATCTGGTGAGAGGCTTTCCTGTAATGGCCCACTGGTGCTCTGTGAGTCAGCTTGTTACCAGGCAAGTGGGTGTTGTACAATTTCTAGACTGTACAACCTTTCTCAGTTTCTACAAGGACCCATGCATCCATCTATGCTCAATTCATTCTTTCCTGGAATGACACAATAGCAAATGGAAGAGGCTGTAGGGCACAGAGGCAAAGCTCTCAGGGTACTTCTTGGGATGGGGCTTAGGAAAAAAACCACCAATTAAATCTTTTTGGAAAACTTTTGCTTTCATCAGAACCAAGATGCTCCAGGCAAGGAATGCAGATTAAGCACCCAGTTCCAGCATGCCATAATTTCTGAGAGAATTTTTTTTAGAGGGCTGTCCTGAGTTTTGGTGTCCTACCCTCACCTGCCACACCAATCATCCACCGTGCAGTACAAAGAAGGATCCCAAGGGCTCAAATACAGAAAGTATCTTATAGTGCTAGAGCTCAGCTCTGAAAAACAGGCTTTGAGTCAGGATGCAATCTTTACTTTAGTCAGGATGCAATCTTGCCTAAGAGTCAGCCATGGTATCAACTCTGAAAGTCCACTCCCTTATTTTCTGATCTCTGTTATTTAATGTTGAAAGAAAGGCACATTGCCTATGCTTAAAGGTATTTATCTGGCATAATTCATTTATTACTGTAACAAAGCTGAAAGCTGTACTATATTTAAGATTCAAGAGCCATAAGTCATATTTTTTTTAAAATATATAAAATCATACACACACACACAACCACACCCCTCTGGGTTAACCCTCATTACTTCAAAGAATTTTTAGTCAGCTAATTTATCCTAAGACTTGAAATAGATTCTGATATTTATTATTTGTTTTCTTTATGACAAGATTTATCTCCTGTTTCTATCACAAGATTTTAACGGACTCTGAAATGGATTAATCAATGTCAAGTCTTTGTGGTATAAAATTC